ACTGCTGCTACTGCTGTTGCTGCTGCTGCTACTACTGCTGCTGCTGCTACTACTGCTGCTGCTGCTACTGCTGCTGCTGCTGCTGCTTGTATAGTGTGTGATATAGAGCGATAGTTGCAATGAAATGTCTGTAATTTTAGATGGCATTTACCAGGTCGGGAAGTTGCTGGAATCGTTGTGATCATAAAAAGGTCCTGGTGAAAATGTATTGCCTTAGATAATAATTTGTTACGTAAAATTATTAGGTAATATTACATGTGTCGTCAAGTAGTTATCTAGTCAATCTTCTAGTTATTTTCTTACATTATGAGTAGGTGTTCGAACATTGGTAATATACACATATATATACACATATATATGTAATAAGAACAGGATATTTGCATTGTATAAGCACACGTATTCAAGGCGCCTGCTTTACTGTTAATGTTGCTGCTGCTGCTACTGCTGATATTATTATATTATGAGTAGGTGTACGAACGTCGGTAATGTAGAGTAGACACATACATATATATGTAAGGGGAACATGATAGTTGCATTGTAAGCACACGTATTCAACGCGCCATTATATTTATTAGCAATAATTACACAAGCATTTTGCTCATTCCCATATTTACAGAATAGCGATTATACAAAAAATATATATAATATAACATTAATTTATAATTATAACTCGTAACGCACGCACGCACGCACCGCAGGTAAACGCATGCATGCGTGGCACATCAAAATTATCGAAAATAAACAAGAAACCGCGAGAAAAACCAGGATTTATGTCATATTGCCACGATTGATGATCACTTAGCGAAGCTACGACTCACGCGCACAGATAGGGGGCACCTCCGATGCCAACCGACTCGCGGAACATTTCGCGAGGCGAGCCAAATCGTCGAAATTTTCGAATCATACGAATTTGCGCGTTTGGAGCACGAGCGAAGTCAAGCGCCGTGATTGGTCGGTCGACTAATACGACATCGTCGCCCGCGGCAACCGCGGCAGTAGCGCAGGAACACCCATCGCGGCGGCGTGCCCCTTCATGAACGGCATCATGTAAGGGGGCAGCACCGTATTGACGAAGAGCGGACGCGTCAGCGACCCGTCACGCAGCGAAAGCTTCGCAAACGCCGCACCGGATGGCGCCGCCGGCGACGCGGGACACGACCGAGACATCGTCTGCATCATCGGCGGGGATGCGATCGTCGGCGGCAACGGCGCGACGGAGAGAGGCTGCAGCACGATCGGTCGCCGCGCGTTCGGGTAGAGAACGCCGGGGATTCCCATCGCCAGGGGGCGCCTCTGCGGCGCGCGCGCGGGATACGGCATCGTCGGCAGCGGTCGAAGCTCCGGCGGCAGATACGGAAGCAGACTCGGCGAGTTCGGGATCAGGACCTCCGTCATCGGCACGTAGGGGGCGCCGCCGGCGGCGGCTGAATCGGTCGACTTCGCTGGGCTCGCGGCGGCCGAGCGTCGGCCGTTGTTGAGCGCCCTCTTCTGGCGGGCGCGTTGGTTCTGGAACCACGTCTGCAGCGTCCTCGCGTTGAGGTCAATCCGCGAAGCCAACGCGTCGAGTTCCCCGCGATCCGGGTACGCGTTGTCGCCATAGTAACGCTCGAGGCGCTCCTGCTGCACGGGGGAGAAGTGCGTGCGGCAGCGGCGCGCGGGGGAGGGGGTCGTGGTCGTCTCCCTCGGGGAGGAAGCCGGTAGCGAGCTGACGTCCGATACTGCAATGAGGAGAGAGAGAGAAGGTTAGATGTTGTACGGTGAGCGAGAGAAGGTTGAATATTGTACGGTGAATATCAAATACTGTATGATGAGAGAATGTAAAATACTGCATGGTGAGAGAGAATGAGAGCGAGAGAGAGAGAGAGAGAGAGAGAGAGAGAGAGAGAGAGAGAAGAGAGAGAGAGAAAGGTTAGTATTTTTGTAGCGATGGAAGAGAGAGATAGAGAGAGAAGATGACGGGAGAAGAGAGAGAGAGAGAGAGAGGAGAGAGAGAGAGAGAGAGAGAGAGAAATAAAGACAGAGGGAAATAGAGAAAGAGAGAGAGAGCAGAAACAGAGAGAGCGAGACAGAGCCAGAAAGAGAAACGGGAAGGAAGGGAGAGCAAGAAGGAAAGCCACAGATATAGACTACAACAATACACAGATATCAAACTTACCGGAATCGTCTGACGAAAAATCTCCAAGGATGCTGTCGCCATGGATACTCTCTCCTAGCCCCTCATCATCGCTATCCACCACGTTGATGTACTCCTCCCTCTCCTCAGCCTCCACCATCATCATGCTCCGTCGTCAGTGTATTCCATATCGAGTAGTCGTGGGTCGTGGCGCATACCAAGCGCCGTGCGGTCCACGTAGCGCGTTTGGGGTGCGAATGGACTGTCCAGCTGTCCGTGGGTCCGTCGTTTATATAGCGAAGGGGGGTTGCGCTGGCGGCGGCATTGGTTTGTAAGCGGAGACAATCTCCTGTTGCTCGGGCACGCCGTTATGCGCCACCGCAGACTGCCCTCTCTCTACCCGCACGGACCCTGAGTAATCGGATGGAGCGAAGTATTGCGGGCGCGCGGGGGTGGGTGGGTGGATGGCCGGACGATGGCGCGCGTTCTGCGTTATATTTAATTAGAAAGTGAAGGCGATGATGATGATGATGATGATTGATGACGAATGGGCCAACAAATGGTCAAACAATGTCACTATGTATATATGTACGCACGCTAATCGTAATGTTGCTGCTGCTGATGACGATACTGATGTTGCTGACGCTGCTGGAATTTGATCGCTGATGCTGCTGACTGGGCGATGACTAATCGAGGATCGATGATGATGACTGGATGATGATGATGATGGATGATGATGATCGATGATGATAGATGAGTGGTGAGCTGTATCGTGATGATGTTATCTTTCGCTATCTATATCTATCTATCCTCTCTCCGCGCTCTGATCTTCCTCTCGCCATCCCCGCCTCTGCCTTCGCCCACAATCCCTGCAGCGGTGTGACTAGACCTCGCGCCCCCGTCGGCACCGCCTCCGCCCCGCCAGTGGTCGCGCCCCGTAGCTGGACAGCGGCCGACGGCGGTCCCAGGGAGAGAAGGGAGGAGAAGAAGGAAGGTGTCAGACGACTGGCAGACAGGGTTTAGCCGGCAAATCGCGCGGCAACGTTTGATCACATTCACCGCTAGCAGGCAGTACTAGCGCGGCAACGTGGACGGCAGGTGACAAGGGCCCTATTGAAGGGTGGTGCGGTGTTTTGTGGGTGTGATATATAGAGATTAGGCATTGCGGGGTTGTGGGTATTGTCGGGGGGAGTCGGGGAGGAGGGTGGTGTTGCTGTATTAGGCCGTGTGCCGTGTCTGCCGGGCGGAGGGGGGTAGGGGAGGGAATGGGGGGAGGTGATGAATGAATGAAGTGTTGGGCAATAGATGCCGTGTGTTTGGAAGGGCGGGGTGGGGGGATGACGAGGGGGAAGAGAGGGGTGAAAGAGTAAGGCCGAGAAGGAGAAAGAGAGAAGAGAGCCAGATAAGCAGAGACGGCGAGAGAGATGACTAGAGAGCGGGGGAGCGGAAGGAGGCGAGAGGCGAGAAATATAGGCAGAGAAAGAGAGAGAGAGTGAGAGAAAGGGGGAGGGGAAGAGAGGGCGAGGCGCGAAAGGAGAAAGAAGGGGCGAGAAAGAGAGAGAGATAGATACAGAGAGGGAGAGAAGAGTAGAGAAGAGATACAGAGAGGCGCGAAGCGAAGAGAGGCTGAGAAATATAGGCTAGAGAAAAGAAGAGAGAGAGTGAGAAGAAAAGGGGGAAAAACACTAGAAGGACGCAAGAGGGGCAGAAGAGAGAGATACAGAGAGGGGGAGACGGTTGAGAAGGCGGGAAAGAAGAGAGAGAGAAATAGAGACAGCAGAAAGAGAGAGGGGAGAAGAGAAAAAGAGAGCGTTAGCGCGCGAGCAAAGAGAGCGACAGAGCAAGGGAGAGAGCGAGAGAAGAGAGCAGAGAGAGAGAGAGAGAAGGAGAGGAGAGAGAGAGAGAGAGTAGCGAGAGAGAGAGAAAGAGAGCAGCGGAGGGAGGAGAGCGTTTTGGGCCATGGAGCATGGCCAATTTCAGAGCGTGTTTACGGCGGATTCGGTGTGACCGCACCTGTTCGGTTATAGTATATATTATATATACATATGACAGTATGTATGTAGAAAGAGAGCAGAGAGCGCGAGAGATAGAGAGAGAGGCGAAAGAAAGAGAGAGAAGAGAGAGAGACGAGAGGAGAGAGAGGAAGAGAGAGATGCGAAAAAGAGAGAGAGGGAAGGAGGAGAGATGAGAGAGAAGAGAGAGAGAAAGAAAGAAGGCGAGAGAGAGAGAGAGAGAGAGGAGAGAGAGGGAGGGGGAGAGAGAGAGAGAGAGCAAAGAAAAGAGAGGGCGAGCACAGAAGAAAGAGAGAGAGAAGAGAGGCGAGAAGAGAGCGAGAGAGAGAGAGAGAGAGAGCAAGAGAAGAGAGCGAGAGAGAGAGCAAGAAAGAGAGAGAGAGGGAGGGAGAGAGAGAATGTTCGATACCCGGTGACAGACGTGGTTCGATACCCGATGATCCCCCCTCCCTGTACATCAACATGAAGCCCTCTCAGCTTCCGCATCTGCTCTGCCGTTACCGCGCAGGGCAATAATATGTAATGCAATTAATAGCTTACGGTAATTAATGAGTTTTCTGGTTTTATGAAACCGCCGCGAGCTAATCGTAGGAAACTCTAATGCTATTTGGCACGCGGCCAATATTAGCTGGCGTGGGAGTGAGTGGGTGGGTGGGTGATGAAAGGGGGTGGGGGTGGAGTGATGAAAGGGGGGGGGTGCGTGGGTGATGCGGAGGATGGGAGGTGTGTGTAATGTATCGCTTATAGAGAGTGCTATTTATTTTTATTATCGCTCTGTGTGTCTCTCTCTCTCTCTCTCTCTCTCTCTCTCTCTCTCTCTCTCTCTCTCTATCTCTCTCTCTCCCTCTCGTTCTTGCTCTTTCTTGCTCTTTATT